CCAAAACCAAGAAATCAGCAAAAAAAAAAAAAAAAAAGAAGGCACAAAAACTGTGTAGTGAGAGTCCAAAGGATGGACAGTCAGCTGGAGTGAGTTAACTAGTGAGAGGTCCATGCTTGCCAACCCTCCCAGGGAGCCTGGGGTCTTAGCTACCTGGACAGGCCCTGGCGACTTCTTGGAGGAACATCCTGGTATGTGAGCCAAAGGGTAGCTGGAATACAAGGCTGAGCTCTGCTGTGTCCAACTGGATGGTCACATCTGAACCTGCACAGAGGAAAAAGAAATGAGCCCTTGGCTACCAGGAGCTGAGTGTCAGCCTCATTTCAAGAGTAGAGTCCCTAGAAAGGAGAATCAGCCGCCCAGGCTCCCAAAGCCCTTGGGCCTTGTGCAACTTACTCAGGGCTGTGGCAGGGATGGGAGGGGACCTCTCCGTACCCTCAGTTCCAAATGAACACCACCCCACTCTACAGAGGGCGTCAGATAAGTCTCTGAAAAGTCAGTAAGCCTCACCACTGCCGTGCTAATGGAAGTGGAAGAGACAGGTTCTCAGGACCTGTAGGCTCTTCCCCTCCCAGTGGAATGAAAAGCATGTAAAGTGACCAGAGGGACTGTCCACTAGTCAGCCTGACAGTGCCAGGCACTCTGCTGGCAAGTAGGAATACCATGGTACAGAGAACACATGTATCGTCAGGGAGTTAGACTGAAGGCAACTTGTTCATAGCTTAAGATCTGTGCCCAGTGGTACCCAGTGAGGACTCAAAAGCATGTGCCAAAGAAAGAAAGAAAAAATATTTAATTGAAAGTATGTGCCAGGGCCAGGGATATAGCTCAGTGGCACAAGTGCCTACTTGGCAAGCACAAGGTCCTGAGTTGGATTCCCGGTACCAAAAAAGAAAAAAAAGAAAAAGAAAAAAGTATGTGGCAAACTAATGAACAGAAGTGATCTAGCACAGTGATTAATTAAGAGTGTGGGCTGCAAGCGGAGCATGGTGGCACATGCCTGTAATCCCAGCACTCAGGATGTTGAGGCAGGAAGATTGAGTTTGAGCCCAGTTTAGGCTACATAGCAGGTTTAATACCAGCCTGTACAAAAAACAACAATGAAATATGAGCCTGTACCACATACTGAGACCTTGTCTCAAAACGAAAACAAAAATGAAAACAGAAACCCACAAAAAACAAATGTGGGGCCCGGAATCTGGATTCTGAGTTTGAATCACGGTTCTGAGACAGTTAGGCCAGCTCTCAGTCTTATGAGGCTAACAAACATACCAGGGAATTTGGAGTTAAAAAGTGGAATAGGGGCTGGGGATTTAGCTCAGCAGCACAGCGCCTGCCTGGCAAGCGCGAGGTCATGAGTTCAATTCCTGGTACCGGAAGAAAAACAAACAAACAAACAAAAAAACAAATAAAAAGTGGAATAGGCTGAGCATGGTGGTACAGGCCTATAATCCCAACACTCTGGGAAGCTGAGGCAGGAGGATCACAAATTCAAGGCCAGCCTGGATAATTTAGCAATTTAACAAGACCCTGTGGCAAAATAAAAGTTAAGGATTGGGTAGAGCACTCGCCCAGCATGCACAAAGCCCTGGGTTCAGTCCACAGCACTGGGAAAGCAAAAAACGCCAGCCATTAGGTAAGTTGATACAAACGCATCACTGTGAGTGACAGAGGGCTGGTAAGAATGAGAAAAAGGTGCATGTATCAGCAAGATACAATTTCAGGCTGGATGTGCTAGTGCACTCCTGTAATCCTAGGACTCTGGAAGCTGAGGCAGGAGACCATCACTAGTTTGAGGCCAACGCGGGCTACCTAATGAATTCAAGACTGGCTTGAACTACATAGAGAGATCCTGTCTCAAAACAAACGAACAAAAAAAGATACAATTTCAAGGATTCATCAGTCAAAGGCTTCCTGGGAAAAGGAATGTGTGGCCTGAACCCCTAAAGGGTGAATAGGAGTTAGGCAAGGGCAAGGAGTTGCTCTGCATGCATGAGGAGGGAACGCTGCTGTGAGAACACACCAGGATCAGGTGCTGGGAGCAGTGAGTGGAGTCAGCCCGGGGGCTACAGATGAGCCTGCTCTCTCCTATTGCTCTCTCCCTGAAAATCCTGTACCTGGTACCCCAGCGGGACTCAGACTAAGGGGACCACTCACCAAGGATGTAGAGTTCGCCATCTGAGGACACTGTCAGGGAAGGAGACAGAACATCTTTAGCAACTGAGCACTCCTGGCTCAGCATCCACCTTCTTCCCACCACCCTCACGGGCCACAAGTGAACTGGGGAGCATCCAGAGGAGATGGATTCATACCACCCAGCCCCCTGCAGCACCTTCTTCCAATGTAAAGTTCCGTGAGACTGGCACTATCTGGTCCAAAGTGACATCGTCCCCGGTAATGGCCATCCTCCGGTGAGTGTACAGGAAGAGACTAAGGGAAGGAAGCAGAAATAAGGGCTGGAGCCATTGGCTGTGCTTTAGGCCCATCTTGGGGGTCCTGGGTGCTCACACGTCCTTGTGGGTCCCTAGTGCTGGGCTCGCAGTACGCTGACCACGCATACTCCTCAAACCATCTCTTTCAAGAATGTGCACGGAGACTGCAATTTATGGATGAAGTCATCAAAGCTGAATTTTTAGCTGGGCCTGGTGGTGCACACCTGTAATCCCAGCACTCTAGGAGGTTAAGGCAGGGGGCTTAAAAGCTTAAACCCAGGGCTGGGTAAAGAGGACATAAAAAGATTTAAGATATGACATGTAGGGACTGGGGATATAGCTCAGTGGCACAAGTGCCTGCCTGGCAAGCCCAAGGTCCTGGGTTCCATTCCCAGTACCAAAAAAACAAAAAAAGATATGACATGTATATTTACCAGTTTCCCATGATGAATGTAATCATCATATACTGCAAATATGCACCAATAAAAATTAAAAATGGAGAGAAAAAATCGGAAGCATGCTTCAAAACTTTAAAAAAAAAGTTGTTTGTTTGTTTGTTTTCTGGTACCAGGAATCAAACTCACGACCTCGCGCTTGCCAGGCAGGCGCTGTGCCCCTGAGCTAAATCCCCAGCCCCTGAAAAAAAAGTTGTAATCCCAGCACTCAGGAGGCTGAGACAAGATTGCTGCAAATTTGAGGCCAGCCTGGGCTACAAAGTGAGTTCAAGGCCAGCCTGAACTGCATAGTGAAACTGTCTCAAAAAAAAATAAAATAAAATAAAGCAAAAACAATATAAAAAATAAAAGGGGCCAGGAATGTAGCTCATTGTGAAAACCCTGGGTTTAATCTCCAGTACTGGAGGGAAAAAAAGGGATAAAATGAAAAAGGGCTGGGGTGTAACTCAGCACTTCCTGCATTCAATCCCCACTATTACAAAAAGAAAAATATACTTGTTAGATCCTTCTTGCATATCTCTGTCTTCCTGAGAAACCACTTTGAAGATACTACAATGTATTATAGCAGCCATTGATATTTTCCTACTGTCCATAACTCTGCAATGTTTGTATTGTTCCTATGCTATTTCATAAATGAATGTATGTTTAAAGAAAAAATAACGTTATCATTATGATAATGATGCAGACCCTGCCCTGGAGGGACGGGTGAAGTCTGGCTGGATGATACAGAGGAGAGTAACCACATGCCCGACGGGCAGAGCCAGAGCCCCTCACTCACGCGTGTTCCTGGCCCCCGTGTTCCAGGCGGTGGCGCACGAGCCCTAGCAGGCGGCTCTGCCTGCTGTCTCCCTCACACAGTACCCCTTGTACTGCCTGCTGCTCAGGGTCAAGGAAAACCAAACTCTGAAAGCTGAAGCCAGACCTCTCCAATCCAGCCCACCCACCTTCCCTGCCCTTGCCCTGTCCCATCTCTTCGCTGTGTGGACTTGGGCAAGTCACTTCACCTCTCTGCCTGTCCTCATTATCCCAACTTTGCATGGGTTTGGGAGGAGAGCTGCATGTTTGAAGCGTGCGGCAGAGTCCTGGACCAAGTGAGTACTTAGTATAATATTGCTTTTCCTCTCCCGGGACAGCTCAGAGTGGGAAGAGCCTGGTAGACACCTTCTCTCCTTCCCAAGGCCAGGGCTGGCAGCTCAGAGCTGGAAAGGATATGATGATGCAGTAGTCCCCCTCCGCCAGAGTCTCTTGGATCGCCACAGACTGGTCCATGTCGGCCCTGCTGCGCAAACCTTCCTGGGGGAGGGCAGACAGCAGGGAGCCTCCTTCGGTCAAAAAAATTATCCTCAAGGTGATCCAGCTGCCTTAGGATGCTGTGGGGCAGGAAACAGGGACTTTTGTGGAGAAGGGGAGAGGAAGCCTGACCCTTGTCCCTCAAATGGACCTTTTCAGATTTCTAGAGAGAGGGACTTTGTCTCTTTGCCCTGGTCAGATCTGTAATTTGCTGTACCACCCTCTGTCTGGGAAGGCACCCATTGGTTCCTGAGTAAAGTCCTATCTACTCGTTGGAAGTAGGACACCTCGTCCTGTTACTGGACAGGGGAACCTAGACCCTTTGCTCCTGGGGCAGGGCTCTGCCACCCTTTTGAGGAGAGGCAGCATCTATCCTTCTGGAGCCTCTCTGGGAGGTGTTGATGGTGTATCTGAATAGGATTAGGGGAACATTTTACTCTCTGGTAGGGAGGGTCCTATCCTAGAAGTAACCCAGGCCTAGTCTTTTCTGCAGACAGGAAAAGTGTCCTGTTGCTCTTTGCCCCTCACCCCACCCAGCAGGCCCCATTGCATCAGCCACAGGCCGGGGGTGTCTTGTCCAGTAGTCTCAGGGCAGGGGTCCCAGCTGCCACCTCACCTACTCTCTCCTGCTTTGTACTCGCTCCCAGCCCCCTGTCATTGCCACCTACCGGTACCTCCTGAGCTGTCACCTCTGATGGCGGGAGTCGGAGCCCAAGCTGGGTCAGAGACTACATTTCCCAGAGGACCCTGCGCTTCAAGATGGTCAACCAGCCTGCAAGTCCCAGCATGCCCTCTATTAACCCCCTAGGTCCTGTGATAAACTAAACTCTCTATTCTGGAAGGGTTTTCTAATGAATGCCATAAGCCTAATCCTCAACCCTCTGTCTTGTGGCCAGAGGCTTCTGCACAAGGCCCATATTTATTTTAGAGGGAAAAAAATTACAATTTTTTTTCTCCTTAATCCACCTTCAACTCTTCTCACTCCAAGAAGGACAGCTCTGACCTCTACTGAAACTCTTCTCCCCCAAGTAACTACCTTGTTCTAGTTCAGCGGAAAAAGAACAAGACTATGAAGAATCTTTACCTCCATTTTTACGGTAGAGAAACTGAGGCTCAGAAAGGTTAAATGATTTGACTACAGCCCAACAAGTGGCAAGACTGGGACTCAGCTGGAAGTCTGACTTCAATTTCTGTACCACTTATATGACCTTGCACTGCCATATTTCCTTCCTCAGTCTCACCCAGCCCCCTCACCAATGTGGGGCTGTTTGAGGATAATAGGTGCAACCTAAAATGTGTAACACTGCTCATGTGAAGTACTGTATTGACCAACACCAGAAGAGAGGACATGGCCCCCTTGCTCTCAAAATAGCCCAGGAGAGGATGTATTGCTCTCAAGACTCCTTTCCTGATTCCCTGGCCGTGTCCCCTGGGGAAAGACCTTTCTTCTTTTGGACCTCATTGTCTCCATCTGAGACAGGGAGATTGGTCCAGATGGGCAAAAGTGTCCACCTCAGACAAAAGATTGTAGGATGGCTCTCTCTAGACCTGTGTCTTCTCAACCCCCCAGCAGTTTCTGGCACACAGTGAGCCTGAGTGAATTATTCAATGAATTACACTAGCGAATTACTCAATGAATTATTTTTGTTTTTGCAGTGGTGAGAATCAAACCCAGGGCCTTGGGCATGCTAGGAAAGTGCTCCACCAATAGGCTACACCCTCAGTCTTTAAAGAACACACCTCTCACTTTGGGGCACTGTGACTTCAAAGCACCCTCTCCTCTCTCCCTTAGTTGTGCTCTAACAACCCATTCAACTTGCATATGTAAACTCCTTCCAGAAACAGATACACACCTTCTTCCCATTGTCTCTTCCAGGGAACATTCACAGCACAAAGGGAGCTCAAGTTTATTGGAATTCCACTTAAAAGTCATGAGGGGGAGAGGGAATGGGGTCATTTCAGACCTTTAGAAATCAAGTAGGTGCAAGTTACTGCAGGAAAGCAAGGGAATCCCAACTCCAATCTCATCTCAATGTCAAAGGCCAGGAGGAGGGAAAATGGGGATGTGACCAGGTACTTGTTACAGATGAGGAAGCTGTCTCTGAGGGATCCAGGGTCAGAGGGATTTCCATTTTGTTTTCAGACAAACCCCACCCCCTCCCTGGAATCTGGGCTAAAGTCCTGTCCCCTTGGAAGGCCTAGGCCTTGGGAATGGAGGAGTGAAGAGCTTCCAGGCAAGAGCCATAGATTTGATAAATCTCTCCCCTTAAAGATGCAGATGTAGGACTTGGAGCAGGTGGGCCTGAGGGTTTGCAGGGCTATATGTACTTCCTGGCTGCTGCTTTCTGATTCTGCTGGGCTCAGCTAGGGAAACCAAGATGGTAGGAGAGCAGTGTGGAGGAGCAGCCAGGGCCCAGGGCAAGGGGTTCCTGGTGGCCACTGGAGCTGCATAGGCTTTTTTTTTTGTTTTTTGTTTGTTTGTTTTGTTTTGTTTGGTACCGGGAATTAAACTCATGACCTCAGGCTTGCCAGGCAAGCACTTAAGCCCCTGAGCTATATCCCCGGCCCCTGGAGCTGCATAGTTGAGTTCCCATCCAGCTGGAGGCAGCTGCCTGATGCCAAAGCCCGACAGCACTCTTGATATTGGGGCTGAGCCCCATCCCCATGACACTTGGGGGTCTCTGCCATGCATAGCAGCATAAGCTGGACCACTTCAGCAGCAAGAGATGCTACTATTCATTCTCCCCTCACTAATGGAGGCAGAAAGTGTTAAATGAAACATGGGCTGAGCTGAACCTTCCTGATCCCTCAGCTCCGTCTCCAGGAAGTCAGTCAGCCAGTTCTTAGCAAACGTACAGAGTGGTCATGAACAAGGGGGCACATCACAGAGATCACAGAGACAGGGAAAACTGTACCCACTGCCCAGGTTTTACCATCATGCAGCGCTGAGAGGGTCAAGCTTGCTAGACCCCATGCAGAATGTTTCCGTAGATCTAGCTCCATATTAGGCTACTAATCGGATTAGGCTACTGAGATACCCCTCTGGACCTGCCATTCTGAGGGAAGATGGCACCCCAGTCTCTGCAGCACCCCTGATGCCACCACATAGAAGTTGAAACCCTCAGGGCACATGGCCACAGCCGCCTGCCTTTGGAGCAGTGATTGCCTTGGCAGAACAAGGTGGCCAATTTTCTCCTGGAAGAAAAGGGGTAGGTTTGAGGGATGATTGCCGGACAGAGCCCCACCGTGCATGTGTCACTGGCCCCAGCCACCACACCCTGTTTATTCCTGCCTTCACCTCCCAAAGCAAGCAAGCAAGAATGAAACATTCACATTTCTGAGAAGCAGCAGACAAGGTGGTGGCCATCAGTGGGGGAGTGGGAATCAGCTTGTCCTCGGAAAGGGCCATGTGGTCTACCTCTGGGAGCAGTGCAGCGCTGCCTGGAGAAGAGCTGACTCCTCCAGAGGCGGTGCTGGTGCAGGTCCTCTACAAAGCCTTGACCTCTGCACTTTCCCAAGGGCATGTGGGCAACTCCAACAAGACACCTCTCTCTGCTACCACTCTGCACAAGCACAGGTGCTTACTCATGTGTCCTTGGAACTTGTGGACAAAGGGAAATCTAGCGGAAGGCAGGTTTTAGGAAATGAGGTCTGCAGGGAGTGGAACATGGAAAGTAGAAAGGCGAGCTTTGGGGAGTCCATGAGTGAGGACAGGTGGATGGCAGTCAAAGTTTAGCAGTTAAGGTGTTCATTGAAGGGGGGGGGCAATGAAAACAGAGCTATTTGAGGGTTTATTAAAGAGTAGGGCAGAGCTGGAGTTCAGGGGGCAGTTCTCTTGAGCTTGTGGGCCAGTGGCAATGAAAGAAGAGCTGGGTAGGTGAGATAGGGCTCAGGACTGCAGGCTGCCAGGTTGGACTACCTCACCCAAGGCTGAGGCTGACCTGTTGAGTCAGGCAGAGCAAGCTGCAGGACCAGGCAAAGCAGGCTGCAGGACAGCACCACTGGGCTGGGCTCGAGCCCTTGCATAGCAGGCCAGGGCTGGGACAAGTTTCAGCTCCTTCCTCACAACTGAAGCTGCATAGGTTTGCATAGTGGGAAGTGCAGAGTTGAACTACCTGGATAAAGAGGAATGTGGGCAAGAAGAAGAGTACAGGGCGACAGCTAGTCTTGGGCCACAGCATGGCTTCTCCCAGCATCCCAGTGCAGTCTCCTCCCTTCATAATCTCTTGCCCCAGTACCCAACTGTACCTGAATGTCACAGCCCTTCCAATGCTCTCTCCATTGCTCTTCACTGCAGAGTGGTGCCCCATCATGTCCCAGTCCCACACCTCATGACAGTGCTCTCCAGGCCCACACTCTGCTGTCTGGTTGGGGAACTTTGTCTCGTGGTGGTGCATCTCTTGGAAGCAGTGCATACTGTGGTGTGTCTGTGGATGGGATCGAACACTGCAGCCTCATTCCATGGGGGCATCGCTCAGGTAACATGCTGCTTACCCCGAAAGGAGCCAGGAAGACCAGCAAGAGGAAAACGAGAGGATGAGCTCCTGAATGGAGTCATCAGCCCAAAGGTCACAAGCCAAGGAAGGTCCTGCAGTGCTTACGTGGAAGAAGTACGAGGTCAGGGCAAAATATAGTCAGTTCCACAGCCCAGCAGTAAGCCTGGGTTAGGACTGGTCATAGAGTCCAGGAAAAGCTGGGCTCTCTGGCTGCTGACAGCTACCTCTGAGCAAAGCAATCCTATGGCTACTATTGGCCTCAGACATCTGCTGAGGTGCTGCAGGAGCTGCAGAAAGTGAAAGACCAGCCCTGGGCAACCCAGGTGAGAGCTGGAAATACATTCAGCTACTGCTTTGTGAAGATGAATAAACCAAGGCTGAGGAACAGGGGAGGCCAATCTGTAGAGGATGAGGTGCGAGGGGCTCAGCTTTTGTTTCTTGGAAGTCATACCTTCAGAGGGCAGAATGAGGCAGGCACAAAGCAACCTTGTCCTAGTAACAGCCCCTCTGAGAGTGAATGTGGCTGTTGGCCTGACAGCAGTGGCATCCAAAGCGCCAGGGGAGGCAGAGTGGGAGCAGGTGCAGCAACAGGAAATAGATACCAGGTGCCTCTTATTTGGCTTTATTTGCATCCAAGCTCAGAAGGTGATGCGACTAGGTGGGTAATGGGCTTCCTCAGAGCCCAGGCCAAGCAAACCCTGGGCCAGAGAGAGGGTCCAGAGTCAGGGCTCACTTTGTCCAAAAGCTCTTAGGGCTCAGGTCTCACCTTGTCTCTAAATTAGAGCTGAGCCAAAGGCAGGAGGTAGCTCTCAGACTATGGATTTCTGTTTTTTTGTTTGTTGTTTTTGTTTTGTTTTTTCTTCCATACCAGGAGTTGAACCCACAACCTTGTGCTTGCCAGGCAGGCACTGTGCCGCTGAGCTAAATCCCCAGCCCCAGACTACAGATTTCTGAATTCCAGGCTCTGCCTCCCCAGTTTTTTTGTTTTTTTGTTTTGTTTTGTTTTTGTTTTTGAGACAGGGTCTCACTATGCAGTTCAGGCCGGCCTTGAGCTCACTTAACACAGGCTGGTCTTGAACTTGCAACAATCCTCCTTCCTCAGCCTCCAGAGTTCGGGGATTACAGGCGTGTGCCACCACGCCTGGCCTCCCCCAGTTCTGAAAGATCAGATCTGGAAGTGTTGGTTAAGCCTACGTTTAGGTTTTCCCATGCAAGGTAGAAAAGCTGGAGGTGAGAGTGGGCA